CCATCCGAACCATAGACACCCCTAGTGAGGAGCGTTCTGTGAGGAGAAGATCCGGACTCCCATTAACCCCGTTAAGTAGGTCGAGCATATAGCACCACATGGCCCCTATGGTAAAAGCTAGCTAAAGCCACATCACTGTATTACAAAAAAAGAAGAGATTTTGTGGGTTATTTTTCCTTAGATTTAACAACAACATCAACACCTATATAGAAAGAAAATGAACATAGAACCAAAGGAGTTGTTTGAAATTGAACCTTTGACCCTGGCTTCCAATAGATATAACATTTGAAATATATTATGCAATAAAACTGGATCCAATGCAGTAATTTCTAACTAGATTTCAACTTAAAATGGTTGAGATTGATAAGTAATAAGTATTATCTAATTTGATGATGAAGTTATGAGTATCACCAATAATATTTTATTTTTTGAGGAAACTTGAAATTTGGTTATTTAAAGTATATTTTTAATATTTAAATGATCAGACCAAAGGGATTGATAAGTAATAAGTACTATTGTGGCAGATTCAGACTATATTCATGAGATACAAGACCAAAGGGATTGGCTAAATGCTCAATTGGTTTCCATCAGGGCAAACCTGTGCTCACACTGATCTAACAGCCTTTCCCAACCTTGCATTGGGAGTATCCCCCCATGAAATAAAGTATATAAGTATGGAGATATTCTCAATGCAAGGCGGTAAAAGCTGCTTGAATGGGCTTGACTGAGGTCAAACTCCTTATTTGCAAATTTGCATGATTTTTCAACTGAAATTATTACCTTAACGGAAGGGGGGGAGAGAAACTGTCGAGACTCCTTTGACATATAGAGAAGTTCAATTTATTGATAAAATAATTAAAATTGAAAAAAAAAAAGAAATTACACCCATAGTTTGTATTTGGCTAATAAATCTAAGTATTTCACTCATATTTTGTGCTGAAATTTAGAGGATTAAATATTAAGCCACTTGATCAAATAAGTTCAGATATCATCTCAAGGAAATGTTCAACCCAAAAGCTTGAGTTATTAAACAAGGAACCCGAATTGGATTTTATTTTCTATGGGTCCGTTTGGTTTGCAGTCAGAATTAGAACCGGAATTAGAATCAAAATCTTTTAGAATCAGAAATAGAATGGTCTATTCCCATTGTCTGTTTGGTTCAGACAGAAATGAAAATGAAAATTGAAATCAGCAGGAATGAAATTTCATTTCCAAAGGAGAGGAAGTGAATGGCCATTCCCTCAAATGGGGGAATGTATGAAAATGAGATTCTGATTCCAATTCCAAACTCTTATTCTCATGAACCAAACGGGGCCTAAATTCTTAATCATCCTAAATGCTTGCTGTCACACCATCCTCCTGATATACATTTAGGTAGAACAATATAAAGAGTACTCTGATTAGATTTCTTATTGAGAACTTAGACCTCATTTGGTTGATTGGCATAGTGGTCAGGAATTGGAATGGGAATGGCTTTCAACCGTTTGGTTGGACGGAATCAAATTTTCCGTATCACCAACAAAATTCAAAGGTTTGAGAGTTGCATTAATTCAACCTCAAGATTCCGGGTCAAGGAAACACGGATACAACTCATTCAATCTTAATTTTAGTTTTGCGATATCTACTATCTCATCAGAAGCTGTGTACATGAAAACCCATGCACCGCTGTTGCCTTCTAATAAGCCTACATCTTCATATTAGCTTCATTTAAGCTTCCTAGGAGGGACCCAAGAATATTTAAGCTATGTTTGGTTTGAAGGAAAAGGTAGGGAAAGGAAGGAGAAGATGGGGAAACTTATATAAGGTTTGTAAAGGGTTTTCTATCTCTTCCCTCTTTTCTCTGCATTTTCTTTTAAATTAAACATAGCCTAAGAGTCAATTTGGTTCATAATCAAAATCAGAATTGGAATGGCCTATTCTCATAGTCAGATTGATTCAGACGGGAATGAGAATGGAAATAGCAGGAATGAGATTTGATTCTCAAGGGAGAAAAAGGAAATGGCTATTCCCTCAAATGGAAGAATATCATTTCAACAAGAATGAAAATGGGATTCTAATTCAAATTCCGATTCCGCTCAAACAAACAGTTTATTCCAATTCCAAACCCCTATTCCTGCAACCAAACGGGACCTAAGTCATATATAGAGAGAAGTAATAGTTTTATTTGTCAAGCAAGCAAGTCAACCTCGCATGCGCCATCCATGCATCTCCCTATGACGAGGTCGGAAATCTCCATTTCAAGCCTGTTTCCTTTATGGGCTTATTGCCTGAATCGATGATTTGCTTTCACTTTCACAACACGCTAGCTTGTGGAGATGTTGATTTCATTGAATTTCAGACTCACCGACGAAGTTTGTTAATTAAGTAATACATATTATGACCAACTGGAAAGGGTTTGACTTCCAAATGAAATCACCGTGCCTTAATTAGTCTTCTCATTATTAATTTCTAGTACATGGATATAAATTATTAATGTATCTTGTCAGTCTTTTTTTTTATTATTATAATTGGAATTTTTAGGTTGCCGTTTGGATACACATTTATAAAATACTTTGTACGAAAACACGATATAGTTGATTTCATACTTCTTGCTTTCATACTTTTAAAGTACGAAATACCATGAAGTCGGCTTTTTATACTTCGTGTTTTAATTTTGGTAAAATAGTGTTTTCGTTTTTATGTGAACGAGTTGTCACCTTCGACAAAACTCTCGACTTACCTCTACTTTCCGCTACTAGAGTTGGACAACCGTCGCCAATCATAGAAAATAAAAATAATACTTTTATTTTAGAAAGCATACTTTTTTATTTTTATTTTTTTTTACCTAAATGGTTTTCAAAGCAAAAATACCAAAGTATTTTATAACTTTATACTTTGATATTTTTAAAAGTACAAAAGTAGAAGTCTATTCAAACAAAAATGCTCAAATATTTTTTGTCTGACTTCTATAGCCAAAAGCTCAAAAGCAAAAGCACATCCAAACAGAGCCTTAATTAGTCTCCCTTCTACATTTCTTTGGAAGAAATAATTAATTTAATTTTCTACACTTAACAAAATAAGTTAATTAATTTCAAGAAAAATCTGAATACACCATACTTGGTTGGAGAAGATCATGTCTCTTATTTTATGTCTACATGAGAGTTCCAGCTTAATCTTCTATTTTTTGGGAGACTGTCACTGAAGGCCACACCTCTTCTTCCAATGGATTCCACCTTGAAGTAAATTAATTATATAATGGTATAATTAAAAATTAAGTTCAGGAGATGATAACCTGCATTAAATGATACTTTACAAATTACAACTACTTATCTAACACTATTCAGATTGAATACAAACTACTGGATTCTAGTTTGATGGTTGATAAAATTAAACAAAGAGCTGTTGTATTTAGAACATATCTAAACCACAGAATTGGGGACCCACCAATTAATAAAAATACAAATAGATGATAACTAAAACCTTGTGGATGACAAATCAAAATCAAAATGGTTAGACATTAAGAGCATGCTAATGTTTGGGAGCCACACCATTGAATGCTGCATGTGATCAATTATCAATCTATTTATATCAATCTACATATTCAATTTTGCCAAACAGTGCATTTGAGCCAAGAACGCTTACCAATGTAGTATTTGAATAAATAATTCTTAATAAAATATATAAGTTGACTTTGACCAATGTGTGTATCATTGGATTAGTATACGTATATGCTTCAATGTATGGGACTAGAATGATTGCCAACTTGCAACGAGAAGTCCACCACTGAAACATGGAGAAGGTGTCACCGGTAGGGCACTTTAACATAAGGTTATGTTTGGTTTGATAAAAAATAAAAAAATAAAAAATCTTTCTTTTTTTCTTTTTTGATAATGTGAGAAGCAGTAAATTGTAGGTAGGGGTGTCAATGGATCAGTTTTGGTGGGATGCATCTGTCCAAATCAAAATCGAATTAGTTTGGGCAGATCAATATATAAGACTTATTGAATTGGACCAGTCCAGACTTAATGGACCAAAGTGTTTATTAGATTGGTTTGGACTTTAACTCGTTCGTAAGAAATTTATATTGGAGTGAATCGGATTGAATCAATATTTGGTTCATTGATAGAAGATAAGAACACAGGTGTAAATGGACTACGTTTGCATTGCAACCAATCTAAATTAAAACCAATTTGAACAGATTGGATATATAATCCAGACATTAAATTAGACCGGTCCAAGATATTCATCGGGTTGGATTGGACCAGGTCCATCTGTAATGGGCTCATGTTCTGCTGAATCAGATTGGACAAATTCTGGTCCAATCCACACTTCTAGTTGAAAGAATTAAAGTTATTAAAAAAAAAATTGTAAAATACTTTGAGAGGTTTCTCTCAACTTTCTATTTCCCTCTTATTTTCAATCAAACCAATCACACCCTAGCTAAATGGATCAATGGTCTTAATTTGCCTTGTTTAAAAATCTTCTTCATTATTTCTACCTACTTTTAAGAAATAATTGATCAATTAATGTTTTGAAAACCAAACCAGATTGATATTAAATGCAAAGTGGGGGGCAATAGAAGGTGTTCAACCACATCAAGCAATATTATTTGATTTTTTTCTTGTTTCTTTCGTTTTTTTTTTTCCCTTATTTGAAGTCATGGCATCAGTTTGAACCGAATTAATTATCTGGAGCTGCTCCATTTTTGTTTCGCCTTCTGGGTCGATATGATCACATAGTTCTTCTTATGGATGAAAAAGCTAATTAAGGAAATGGTCTGTGAGTGGATCCAACTCAATGAAAATTAAAAGGAAATTTGACTCCTCACCTGGTGATAGATTGATACCCTTGATTTCCTTCCTGAGATTAAAACAAGGCCACGATGGTAATAGACATTTCAAAAATGAACATGCATGCGTGCAGACAAGTGCATTAAATATTAGCTCTATCGTGGAATGGATTAGCTAGAAAAATGGTGCTCTCTCTCTCCTCTCTTCTCTCTCTCCTCTCTCCAGATCTCTAGAGTCAAGCTGTTACGCAGGAAAGAGTAGTAATAGAATTAGTATATAAGGAGAACTACCTCTGCTCATTTCTATCATTGTAGTAGAGCTGACAACCATATCTCCTTGGTTGAGAGAGGGAATTGAAGTGGGTTGCAGGGTTCAGCTAAAAGGGTTTTCAATTCCAAGATGAGGGCTAACTTCCTTCTTCTGGTCTCTCTAACAATTCTCTGTGTTTCTGGGGTTTGTCAAGGTTGGTTCTTAAGGAAGAACTTCTACCAACATTGCTGCCCCAAAGCCGAGGAGACCATTAAGTCTGTCATTTGGAAAAGAGTAGCTGCTGATTCTGGGTTGCCTGCAGAACTCCTCAGGATGCATTTCCATGACTGCTTTGTCAGGGTACGTAATCCAAATATGATTCTGCTGCAACTGCAAATTCTTTAAAAACAAAAAGCTTTTTAATTTGTTTCAACATTTCAAAGCCATCTTGTTTGGTTTACTCTTTCAGGGTTGCGATGGCTCAGTGTTGCTGGACTCCCCTAATAACACAGCTGAGAAGGACTCAGCTCCAAACCTAACTTTGGAAGGTTTTGATGTTATCGATGAGGCCAAGACTGCAGTCGAGAAAATCTGCCCAGGAATTGTTTCATGTGCAGATATCCTCGCTTTGGCTGCTAGAGATTCTGTTTCCTTCCAAGTAAGTTGACAGAAGACAATTCACTGAGTTAAAAGTTTGAAACACTCATGTGCAGATATCCTCCCTCTGGTAGATTCCCTCTATAGAATATTTTAAAAATACTCGTGCAGTTATGAGGTTGGTTTTTATGGAAAAAAAAAATAATACAAACTTTATTAACAACAAAAACAAACAAAGAGAATTTTGGGTTCGTTTGCTTTACGGTCAGAATCAGAATCGGAATCCGAATGGTCAATTCCCATAATCTGTTTGGTTTAGACAGAAATGGGAATAAGAATTGGAATAAGCAATAATGGATTTTCATTCCACAAAGAGGGGCAAGGAATGACCATTCCCTCATATGGGGAAATGCCATTCCAGCAGGAATGGGAATGGGGTTCCGATTCCAGACCCCTATTCACACGAACCAAATGGGGCCTTAAAGTTGCAGCTTTACCTTTGAGTGATTGATATGAAGGGCAAATTTAGAAAATAAATCAATTTCAGAAAAAAGATTAAAAAGGTTTTTTTTTTATTGAAAGGTTTTAAGGTAGTAATTCATGTGAAAAGAAAATTTGAAAAACAAACATTTCTGTTAGAAGTAATTTGATGGGCATTTTGGACATTTTAGGACTTTTTTTTGTAGAAAGTTCTACCAAATGCGACTACTACCAATTACCAAACTTCAGAGAAAGTTTCTTTAACTTTAGGAGTGATTTCAGTAATTTACCCTAAAAAATATTTTTCATCGTTATTTTTCAAGATGAATGTCATACAAAATATTTATTAATTAAATAACAGCCTTTAGCCTTTAAATCATCTACATCTACAACATTGTTGAGAGATGTTTATGTGATGTTTGACGATTAATAACTTGCAGTTCAAGAGACCCTTGTGGGAGGTGCTCACGGGCAGAAGAGATGGAAGAGTGTCGCGTAAATCTGAGGCGGATGCCAACATCCCTTCACCTTTCTCAGACTTCAACACTCTTAAACAAAACTTTAAGGCCAAAGGCCTCACTGTCCATGATCTTGTGGTTTTATCAGGTTTGAATGCTTTTTAAGTTGGAACTACGTTCACTCACGGAATTTCCGTTTCAGGCATTTGCCGGCCGATGCCATCGCCACGAATAGTTTATGCACGTTGCATCCACCCATGCATCATAACATATACGATTCATAGGACATGCCATTCTCATCGTCATTTATTATTAATCCACCCCCTATAGTTTTATGCATAGATTTACTAAAACTTGTGTGCTAGTTTGCATTTTACTTAAAATGAAAATGGCCATTTTTGCCCTTAATAAGACACCAATAACCATTTTATTTGGTTTTATTTGGCCAATTTTATTTTTTATATCAAGAAGGGAGTACATAATCATGGGCCCATTCTCTTGAACATTTTCCATGCAGCTTAAGTGATCATGTTACTATTTTCAGATGGCAAAACAAGTTTAAGAAAAATAGGTTTTAAATTATACGGGGTGTTTTAGTAAAATAAAAACTACAAGGAGAGCATTCGTTTTTTGGATTTTGAAAGGGAGAAAGTTGACAAATGAGATTCACAATCCCATTGACCAAAAACCTCAAGTTCTTTCTTCATATTTATGTGTGGATTAGGGGAAATTTATCAATACTTGAATAAGATAAAAATACCCTTTTTAATAATGAATTTTTATGGCTAAAATGGTCATTGGCTTATTTACTTGGGAAAGAAAAGAACATGGGTAAATACACCTACCTGGGTAAATGTTTCTCAAGAAACACTTACGTGTGCATGGGCAAGTGCATTTACCGGGATAAGTAACTTACCGAAAAGTGAACGAGGCCTATGTAAGATAGGTTTAACCGTTTAAATAAACCCATGAAACTATAGGGGGTGTTCTACTAAATGACCCATTAATAAACCATCTGAAACCTACATGCATCCAACTCTTGACAATATTCCAAATCAATGGTAGGAGATGTACTAGGGTTAATTTCCTGGGTGATCAATGTGTGTAAACTAAAACAGAGAGGATTAATCTGTGTAGGTGCACATACCATTGGGCATGGACACTGCAATCTGTTCAGCAACAGACTCTATAACTTCAGAGGGAAAGGAGATGCAGACCCTTCATTGGATCCAACTTATGCAGCCTTCCTGAGGAACAAATGCCGGAGCCTTGCAGACAACACCACCACGGTGGCCATGGATCCCCAGAGCGACGAATCTTTCGATACCCACTACTTTGTAAACCTGAAACAACACAAGGGTCTCTTCCAGTCTGATGCTGCCCTTCTCACCAACAAGGTCTCTGTGAATATTGTTAATGAATTGCTCAACTCGCACAGGTTCTTTACGGAATTCGCCATTTCCATAAAGAAGATGGGAGACATTGAAGTCCTTACTGGGACTGCTGGAGAGATCAGGAAGAAGTGCAATGTTGTGAACTAGCTACGTACACCTTGAGTGAAGCTTACTTAATTAGGGTGTGCATTAATTAAGGTGTTTGTTATCTCGTTTATGTATTTCTTTTTGATTGAAGAAATGTGTGGGTCAGTTGTGAGGATGAGAGTTATATTCATGGATGTTTCTAGTGACGATTTCAAATAAATTGATCACATAAACTTGACCCATTTTTAATTACTCCATATTATTTATGATTTGTTCTTCCTTTTGTTTTCTGTTCTTTCTTTAAAAGAACAGCAATAAAAAAACATTAAGTGGTATTTAGGTTCTGTTCGTTTTTCGTTAAGTTATTTATCCAGGTACATGCAGTTTTACCTATGTAAGTTTTTCTTGGAAAACACTTACTCAGATAAGTGTATTTACCCATGTTTTTTTATTTTCCAAATAAAAAAAGGAAATGACCATTTTAGCCATAAAAATCCATTATTTAAATGAGGCATTTTTGTCTCATTCAAGTGTTGGAATCTTTCCCACCAGGTGGAAAAGTTATTTACCCACTTGGGAAATGGGTATCACTTACCCGAATAAGTGATACCCAAGAAAATAAACTTTCTCTGATCCCCACATTAATCTGAAAAAAGAACATGGGATTCTTGGTCAATGAAAACCAAAATCCCATTGACCAACTTTTCCACTCTCAAAATCCAAAAGAAGAATGCCCCCTTAGAATTAACCATGGAATACCCTTTTTTGGGTCATTTACTTATATTATACATTCCTATAGTTTCACTTATTTATTAAAACATATCCTCTATTTTATATGTTATTAAGACACTCCTTATGTTTTATTTAATTGACCCTCTATCAAGAACTATTTGCATTTCCATGAGGGTCAAGAACTAATTGACCCTCTATCAAGAACTATTTAATTGACCTTATATTATGAGAATTTGTAGAGGCATTTTCGGAATAAAAACCCTTGGGTTCATCTTCTTTTACATTTTTCACTCAATTTAGGAGATTAAGTGGCCATTCTCAAATAAAAATACAAAAGGGGTTTCGAGGGAGAGCTTGAGTTATAACTTTGTGATGTGAGAGAGGCCGTCTCCTTTTGAGTTAAAAGGCTTCACGGCTGGTCGGCTGCTAGCATAAATTGTAAATTGATTTAATATTTATCCAAATGTCGGCAGAGTTTGAGTTTATCTTGGCTTCTTAAATTTAGGAGGAAAGTGTCCTTAAAGCTTTCAACTAACATACGCGTAACCAGTCTCAGCTTCAGCTTGAGAAAAAGACTAGCATTTAATGTAAGAAGAAGTTCTTGTCTATCCATAGAGTGTTTAAGTACGGAAAGTTTTTCCAGTTTATTAAGTATGGAAACCACTCCATTTGTTTTTTTATCTGAGCACTTCTATGTGTGTATTGTTAGAGAAGAGAGTGAAAAGGGAAAGAAGAAGAAGAAGGGGAGGAAAAAGAAAAGAGGAAGAAGAGGAGATGGCGGCAGTCGGTTGTCCGCTTTCTCCAGTATTGTTAATGGTTTTTTGACCAATTCAATGGTTTTTCTTAAAATAGTAGACTGCACCACAAATGGAATTGGGATTTGGGAACAAAGCCTGTTTTCAGGATGAACGGTTCAACCACTCATTCATAGTTCTTTTTCCCTTCTTTTTCGTTTACTTTTTCTTTCTTTTTTTATTAAAATCCAGAACTTGAATGCTAAAACTTAGTTTAAGCTATAAAACTCATATAGCTCAGGCAAGTGTCGACTTAGGTCTTAGGCTAAATTTTAGGGTTGGGCTTAGATTGACCAAGGGTATTAATGCCCAATTGGTTGAATATTAAAAAAAGAAAAAAAAAAAAAAGCACGCAGTTGGACTAACATGTCGTTATTGAAGGTGGATTGTTGATTATTGGAAGAGAAATAGTGACTAAATGCAATTGAAGCTATTGCTGTTGTAGAGGGGTTACAATTAGCTAAAGATATTTTCAATCTCATTTTGGAAGAGATATCCTGTTGCAGATTTTAAATCTCTGATAAAGGAATTTATTAATATGATCATTACTTATATGTCTCCTCAATATAATATATAAACTAGTTTTATTTATTTATTTTTGGTTAAAAGGGTAGTTCAGTGCACGAAGTTCACAGTTCACTTTAAGGTCCCGTTCGTTTTTCGGTAAGCTATTTACCTAGATAAATGTAGTTATCTGGGTAAATTTTTCCTGAGGAACACTTACCCGGGTAAGTGCATTTATCCATGTTCTTTCATTTCTCATGTAAATAAGGCAATGACCATTTTAGTCATAAAATTCATTATTAAAAAGGTTATTTTTGTCCCGTTCAAGTGTTGGCAACTTTCCCCCTAGGTGAGAAAGTTATTTACCCACCTAGGAGATGGGATACTCAGGAAAATAAACTTTCTCTGGTCCCCACATAAATCTGAAAAAAGAACATGGGATTCTTATTCAATAGAAACCAAAATCTCATTGACCAACTTCCCTTCTTCTCAAAATCCAAAAAAAGAATGCCCCCTAAATAATTTTGGTATTACATACTAGACATAATAAGGGTGATTTCACATCAGCGCCCCACGATACCCCACATCACATCACGGCCTTGTATTGGGAATATCTCTCGATGACAAGTACAAAAGATGATGAGACATCCACGGAAAATGTTCTCAATACAAGGTCGGGATGTGCTATAGGGCATTGTGGGACGCAGATGTAGACTCTACAAGGGTGGGATAGAGAATGGTGCATTTGAGTGAGGTACACTGGACATTACCATGGAAAACCTGCTGTTTTTCATGTTTGATTTCGTATTTCCCATATGGAGGGGTGCCAAGTGACCATCTCGACCATTGGGTCATCGACTAATAAAATAGTGATCAATAGTCAAATTGAATGATTGTAACCCTTCACACTGGAATTTCTATTAATTAATTGATTGAAAAAGATGAGATGTAATTTTATTGAATCGAACGGAATTAGCTAGCCTCATGGCTTTCAGAAATGCAAATAAATAAACAAGAAAAAGATCATTCATGTGGAGTTTGGCATAAGAGAATGCATGACAAAGTACATGGATCAAAAGAAAATGAGTGGCTAATGTTTGGGAGCCACACTATATGTTTGGGTTTGTTTTGGCCAAGGATTATTGAGGCGTATGGGTCGATATGTATCGGGAATACAGGCCAATACACCAGGCTTATTTCAATATTTTAAACCTTGATTTTGGTATATGCTTTAATGTATGGGACTAGAATGATTATAAACTTGCAAGGAGTTGTCCAACACTGAAAGAAAATTTTGATATTATTTTAATGTTTTTAAGGATCATTTAGGGCCGCAAATCAGGCCGGGTTAGGTCGGGTTGAGGCCAACTCTAACCCAACCCTAAGTTCTAAACCCCCAATCCTAACCCTAACCCAATTCAACCTTCAATCCGATCAGCCCAACCCTAACCCTAACCCTAACTAAATTCCTTCAATCCTAACCCAACCCAAACCAACCCGAAGTCAATTTCGGGTTGGATTGGGCTCTGGTTGGACCAACCCAACCTTCTTCTCATCCCTTAAAACCTCATAAAATTTCTCAATTTTAGATCTTAACTCAACTTTCAGTACATATATTAATCCCATGTTTCATTAGTACTTGTTTGTTGATGTTTTTTTCTTTTTTTTTTTTTTTGTTCTTTTGGTACAAAATTCAGAAAAACAAGTGTTATGACTTAAGATAGATCTTTCTTGGGTGGCAAACAAATAGAGGAGATGAAGAATAAAATTTTCAAAAAACATAAATTAATGTTATTAAGGTTTTAGTGTTTCTGATTAGGATTAAGTGAAGTGACTATCTTAAAAGAAATACATGATACTATGTGGTGGGGGCTATACAAATATCATGCATCTAAACAAATCAATGCATGTTATATATTACATATAACATATATTTATATATGGCATGTACTACAGAGTCAGATTTGGGTTGGGTTGGGTTGGGTTGGGTTGCCTAAGGTTTCAACCCTAACCCAACCCGAAGTAAAATTGGGTTCATGAATTTCTACCCTAGCACTAACCTGAACATCAACCCAACCCTACATTTTCGGGTTGGGTTCGGGAAAACCCAGCCCAAGTTGCAGCCTTAGGATCATTAATGCATGCATGTATAATTAGTATCACCTTGTCTCAGTCATAAGCTCTTATTTTGCTTATTTCTTACTTGTTGACTTTGTCAAGCAGTCTACTTCATTCCCTACGGAAAGGGAACTAATAGAAAGAAATTCTTATGAAAGTTAGGGAGAAAAAACATAAAATAAATCCCCTGAATTTAATCAATAATCATCTGATTGATTACCACTTTTGTGATGCCGACAGATTGGTTATAAGTTGTTTTGATATCATAGTCAAACTTGTTAATTATTTATATATTTTGAATTTTTTTTTTTTGAGAAAGACGGTTCAGTCCAGGATCAGAATTTATAGGCACAAAGTACTGTTGGGGTAGGTGCTAGCTCGGGATTGATGCCAATTTACGGGCGGGCATTTATGCACAGAGTGTGAGTTATTGCTATTTTGAATGTTTATAGTTCTGCAATGAAAATCAGAAATCCGCATTGGACCTGTCCATACATTTCCATTTTTTTTAAGAAAAAATAGCTTTAAACCAAAATATCTAGGACAGATATAAAAGAAACAATTTAAGGAATTTATTTGCTAACAAATCACCTATCCAAGAGATATATATTGGGATCATATATCTCGCTTGCACCAGGGTTGGAGTGTTACGGGTTTGGGATATGGGACACACAGAGAGAGAGAGAGAGGGGTTGGTGACTTAGGAATATGGTAGCTATCGTGGTAAGTAAAAGGGCTTCATGCAGATGTTGTAGGCCACAGTGCCACACCATACCGTGCATCTCTCATTTATGTCGCAAAATTTAGCTTACTAGTTCTGTACACGTGGCAAAAGAAAACCATGTTAGAAAAGAAAGTGTCATTAAACCTAAGAAACCTAAGAATATATATATATATATATATATATATATATATATATATNATATATATATATATATATATATATATATATATATATATATATGTTTGATTTGATAGAAAATAAGAGAGAAACAGACAACAAACCAGATCGTTATTAAATGTAAACTAGAGGGCAATTGAAGGCGTCCAACCAACAATAATATTTGTTTAGACATCTCTCTGATACCTTTTCCTTCGTAAGGTTAAAATGTGGCCAGGATAGTATTAGACATCTCTCTTTCATTCCCCCCTCATAAATTTCTATTGATTCGGCGTAAAAGGGCTTATATCTGGGTGGGCTAGATCGGATTTTAGTTCAATCCAGATCCAATTCTAAGAATTGGGTCTAAAGTCCGAGCTTGAGGTCATGCCCAAATTATTTAATCCAAGCCAAGCCCCATTAAAACTTGATGTATTTAAGTTGGGCTCGGGCCAGGTTGGGTTTGGTGCGGTTTAATCAGCCTATGCTAAAAAATGATATACATGTATACACATGCATGCATAGAAGTATGAATAATTAAAAAATTAAAAAGTTCCAACTTTTGGACCCAAACCTAGTATGAAGACAAAAGCCCAAGCCCAGTCCGTGTAAAATTGCGAGTTAGGTCAAATTCAAACTTAGGTTTGGCCTACCCAAGTTGCACCCCTTGAGAATATTAATAGGTGGGAGAATTTATCAAAATGCAAAGAGATAATATATTATAAGTGGATATTTTAGTAAGTAAAACAAGAAAATCAATAAAAAATTATGAGGTGGGACAAACCATAAATTTTCCTATCTTATTATATTTCTTTACATAGAGTAGCTAATAAAGAAGAAAAATACCTTGGTGCCCCTTTAATTAGATAAAGAATAAATGAAAGCAAAAGTTTAAGGTTGGAACAGTAAAACTCTTTCTCTAGGTGGTAGGTGGCAGAGTGACTTTGCTAACAGCTGAGAACCTGGCCCAATATCAACTGAACCTTTTTGGGATCCAAATGGATAAGTTACACAACAATTTTTTGGGGGGGCACTAAGCAAAATAACAAATTTTTTGCCCTCACAAAATGGAGAAAGGTTTGTCTAGATAACAAAATTTGAGGTCTTGGAATTCAAAGTTTGCCCCACTTCTTTTCCCCGAAATAAGTCTTCTTTCACACCCCAAAAGACTCAAACTCCAAATTTCATTCTTATAGTGCTAGATTTGCAAGACTCAAACCCCAAAAATTTGCAAGAAACAAGTGTGAATCATTAATTTTTTTAAAGATTTTTTAAATTTTGAAAAAATATGACAAAAATAGGTAAACTTTTTCAATTTCTATAATATCTTGTGATTACCTTCAAAATCACAATTTTTTTTGTATTATTAGTAGATTTATGGAAATTCCATGAAGATATTGGAAAAAATATAAATTAACAAAAAAATTTGAAAATGTAATTTTTTTCTTTGCCTATAAAGACTAAATATGTTTTAGATATATGGATTTATCTATCATATCCATAGAGAAATTGAAATTTCTTCTTTAATAGTTTTCTTTATCTTTTATATTAGAATTAAAAAATAAATAATAAATAATTATATTTTATCATTTGATCACAACAATTGAATATATTATAATTATATGGATGATCTATCATATCCATAGACCAATTGAAATTTCTTCTTTAATAATTTTTTTTTATTTTTATATTTTTAGAATTAATTAATTATATTTTATCATTTGATCAAAATGATTGAATATATTATAATTCTATAGATGTTCTATCATATCCACAAAGCAATTGAAATTTCTTATTTAATAACTATTTTTGAATATATTATATATAATGTTTATTTATTTTTTATAACTTTTGAAAATGAATAATAAATAATAATAATTTAAATAATAAATAATTATTAATTATTAATTATATTTTCACATAGAAGTTGTGCCAATCATGTTTTATGGTTGGATAGGAGAGTTGTGTTTTTCCCATCCCATAAAACATTAAAACTTAAGAATTATAATTTATAAATTATAGATAGGCATAGGATTTTTAATGTAATTATAATTAACTACAAAGTCAAGATTTAAGGCATGAAGACCTGGATCATGAGGCTCCAAAGTCAAGTTCCTAGGTTTGGAAAGACATTCTCTCAAAAAGGAAATATCCAACAAGGAATTAGATGGAAATTGGCAATGTCTCCAAGTGTAATTTTTAGGCCCATAGTGGATTTAATTGAAGATAGAGAGAAAACCTGAACCTAAGGCCTTGTTTGTTTGTAATAGTACAACTTACTTGGATAAGTGTACATTTACTTGGGTAAATGTACTTATCCATGTTCTTTTAATTTTTAGATTCCCAGGTAAATAATAAAATAACATTTTTACCCATAGAAAGTAATTATTAAAATGGGTAAAATGGTCCCAAGAAAGCATGGGTAGCTTTACCATGGGACCCATTGTTTAATGCAAAAAGAACATGAGGAAGTTGGTCAATGGGAAAAAGTTACCGTTAACCAACTTTCCCATGCATATTTACCTACAAACAAAAAGGACCTAAAAGTCAAGGAAGTTCTAAATCTATCCACTCATTCATGGGACCAAGAGAAACTAGCTACTCTTTGTCCCTCAACAGATTATAAACAAGATTATAAACAAGATTAGAACTATCCACATTTTGAGTAGTGACAAAGAAGACATAAGGGTGTGGGGATCAAATTCCAGGAAATTCCTGTGTCAGGAAAAAAATTAAAATATTCCTTTGGATTTTAATTCATAATAAAATTCCTTCAAGAAGAAACCTGGCTGACAAAGGGCTAAATGTAAATCCTAATTGTCCGCATTGCAAAGGGTGGGAAGAAAGAGAGCATAATTTTGTAAAATGTCAAGTGGCAAATCAAGTGTTACTTTGGGCCTAGTGCCACTTTGGTATCTGAACTTTTAAAACATGTTAATCCAATACCTGCCATTAACCAGCCCATTAACCAATCATTAAATAGCATTTGAAAAGACACAAATGCCCTTTCGATTGTCATCTAATTTTCTTTATCAACCATCTAAACATTGATAAAAATGAACACTCTCGACTCCTCACCTCTTTTATTCAAGAAAGTTGACTCACCAGAATGTCCATTGGGACATGACCACAACTTTATTGAATAGAAGAGGCAAAGATTTGGGACTGTTCATTTTTTTGTTAACATTTGGATGATCGATAAAGAGAATAAGATAACACTCAAAGGACAGTTGTGTCTTTTCAAATGCCACTTAGTGATTAATTAACGGTAGGTACTAGATAGACACATTTTAAAAGTTCGGGTACTGAAATGTCGTATTTTAAAGTCCAGGGACCAAAGTGGCACTAGGTCCAAAGTACAGCATACTAATAGGAAATTTTTCCCTATCTTTTATTCTCTAGATGATTTAGAAAAATAGAAATGAAAACTCAAGCCAAGGGCCTTGAGAACATAAGCTGGATCCCATCGCCAGGTGGTCACCACGAGATCCTCATGCTATTAAAATAAACTTTGATGCTTCATTCAAATAAAATGGATCGTGTGCCTATGAATGTATATCTAAATACAAATTTCAAAAGCAATATCCTGGCAGCCAAAATGGGTAATTTGGAAAGCATGACTATTTCTATTGTTGAATCATGGGTCGCTTGGGAAGCCCATAACTTCACATTGAGGATAAATAGCCCGTTATTCATCAATCATCATCAAACGAGATTCTCTTATATGGATCTTCAAGACCAAGTCAAAATCCTGTGGAATTATTACAGCTTGTTGGTTGAAGACTGTAAATGTATACGTATTGCTTTCTCCTTATCAACAACAATCGTATATAACCGCACTCATTGGGAAGAGTACAAATACAAATATGTACAGTAAAATTGCATACAAAATATAATTGTATTTGGAAACAATGCAAATGGAGTGTAAATCCCGGTTCAAGATAAACTTGTAATCTGGTTCACTTTTGCCTGTGTTTGACAACATTACATTTATGCATTGGCAAATGAAAGAAAATACATTTTTTAATGCATATTTACCTTGATAATAAGATGTAAAAGTACACCATAAAAAAGAAGTAAATTTGCATTCAAGTGGGCTTTTGATTAAAAAAAGGCATATACTTTATTGAAATTCATGTTTGCATCCATTACAGCTAAAAGTTTGTTTGGTAAGAAGGTAAATTTGTTGGTGCAAAATTATCCTAAGTTTACAATTTATATGGGCCATTTTACACTCTAGATATTTGCATTCTTTCCAAACGCAACCTATAAGATTAATTTTACACCTTCATTTTTTATATTTACACTTATTCCAAACTAAACCTTCATTGTTTCTCGTGGGAGCTTAAGTTTTTAGCTTTTCTTTGATGTTCTTTGAGCAAGAAAATGAAGAATTTCATTAAAAATTAGACAACAAACATAAAGAGAAAATAGTCAAGAAAAAACAAAGGTGGCATTTTTATGAGGGGTTTCAGGAGTTCATCTTACATATATGATTGGATAAATTTCTTAAACTATCCTTATGGTTTATTTAATTGACTAAGTGTACCCTTACTATTTGAAAATTGACTAGCACTATCCCTACTGTTCTTGGTAATTGACTAACTCTATCCTTACCGTTAGTATCCATTAGCTTTCCATTACCGTTTTTCCATAAAAAATGGTGCTCCAAGCCACGCCTTGGAAATCGGGAAGGCATGGCTTGGAGCAACGTCGAATTTGGCGTTTCCTGGAGCTGCAGCTCGTTACTGCCAATAGGGACATGATGTGGCACTGGATATATAATAGGTACCAGTGCTAAAAATGTTTCCCAGAGCATTGGTACCAAACAGAAAACATTGATGTTACTCCCAGAAATGTCTTACCTGACAGCAATGTTTCCAAACGAAAAAAAAAAGAGACCATTTTCTCAAAAAACGGTGTTAGCTTCCAACCCACACATCAGGGGTGCTGTATCTACAGCATCGATGCCAAACATATACTTAAACATAGCTTTTTGTTTACTCTTCCAGGGTTGTGATGCTTCGGTGTTACTGGACTCCCCAGATAAAACGGCTGAGAAAGACGCAGCTCCAAATCTCACATTGGAAGGTTTCGATGTTATCGACGAGGTCAAGACTGCAGTCGATAAAATCTGCCCAGGAGTGACTTCGTGTGCAGATATCGTCGCTTTGGCTGCTAGAGATGCTGTTTCCTTCCAAGTAAGTTGAGAGAAGACAATTCACTGAATAAAACTAATCAAATTAAAGCATCCACTTCAGTGTTGATCAGTGTTGTTGATCGAATATATATATTGCAGTTCAAGAGACCCATGTGGAAAGTGCTCACCGGCAGACCTCCCTTCACCTTTCTCCGACTTCAAAACTCTAAAACAAGACTACTTCTCGGCCAAAGGTCTCACTGTCCATGATATTGTGGTGTTATCTGGTGCGTATATATGCCTCGTTGAGCTGATCAGCTTTGATCTTTTCGGAAGTTCCTTGAATGCTTTCGAGTCATACATGGAGTACTGTCCCTTTTCAAGCATCCAATATGGATCAACCAGTTGGTGGCCGGGTCCATGCACTCAAGACATTGGCTCCATCAAAATCAGCAGCATAATCAGATTCCGATCTGTGCGCAAGCTGTGTTCTGAGCTCTCAATTCCCTAGGCTTCAATGAGATTGTCCACACCAATGTTTGGAACCGCCATTGACCTGGACGGTTGGACCGTTCGGCCCATGAACCGTCCAGGCAACCAATTCCATTTTATCCTAAACCCGGTCCTTGACTAAAAACTGTTGAATTGGTCAACAATCCATTGATCCGAGCGGTAGAATCATCAAACGGTTTTTGGCCATTTTTATTTCAATTGTTTTTTCTTTTTTTTTGAATTTTTTAAAATTTTTGTTAGAACGAGTTGTTCATTCGAATTGAACGGTCAAACTATTGACCCAGAAACCAGTGGCCAAAAGAATTTCGATTCCAAGTTGATTTTTAAAACATTGATCCATACTTGACAGAAAAGTCATCTACATGTTATGAATAATTAATGCATATGACATCCACATAGGGGTGTCAACTGGACTAGATTTGGTCAAATCCCATCTGGTCCAATATGAATCCATTACACGAGTCTGAATCATCTGCCAACAAAAGTCATTCCAACAAACTACCAACATGATCTTATACTGCACATCTCATACATAATAGGTCCCACTTTTAGTGGATCACTGGGTCCCAGTCTCATGGTGAGATGTGTGGTGTCAGATCAAGTTGGTAAAGGGTTGGAACGTCTTTTGTTGGTAGAAGATCTCAATTCCCATTACACATGGACTAGATCTAATCCAATCCAATAAATATATGCTCAGACCATTTTGGACCAATCCAATTCAATGTCTGGACCACCAAATCTATTCAAATTGGTTTTAAATTAGATTGTTTCCCAGTCCAATATAAATTCATTATTGATGGACCAGGTCCGGTCCAATCCAATAAATACTTTGAACCATTAAGCTAGACTGGACTGGTCCAATTCAATGTCTCATATTGGTCCGTCCAAATTGATTTTGATTTGGACGAATAACCTAAAACCGGTCCATTGACACCCCTATCCATGCATGCCGCATGCATAGTAAACCAATGATATAGAATATTTATATGGTCAATTATAGCCATTAACAAATCATCTAAGGCCTACATGCATTCGTTCCAAATCAAGAATTTGAGATATTCTACATCATTAACTATTCATACATAGCATTCATTCCCCTTTACTAAGCTATTATTTAGCTCTGAATTCTGAAAAGAGGTATACATGCTTTTCTATTTTTCAGAGGATCTAAATAATTAAGGTTTTGAGATAGATCAATCCTTCAACATCTGAAAACGGTGGATTTTATCATTTCAATCCAAATGGAAGAATTCCTCCAACCATCTAATGTATTGAGATTGAACAATTCAAAATAGCAAATGGTTGGTGGATGCACCTTCCATAAGGAACCACCGTTGATGTCATCAGTAGATGCTGTCGGTTCTACAAAAGTGAGGTGAGAGTTCCCAAAGGTGTCGACACAAAGATGCATACTTTGACCATGCTTCTTCAGCCCTCAGAAATTCGTGCCTTAGAAAAGCGACTGGATGGAGGCAGAGGGTCTGAACGATTCTTCTCTAACATTTACAATTGGTCAGGATCTTGGCATGAGAAGGTGTTCTTTGAGTTCCGCCATTAATGGAGAGCTTTACGAAGTGAGAAATGGAAATTGTCACTGGTAAAATTTATTGTTTCTTTACATTGTGAGAAATGAAAACTATATATCGCTGGTAGAGTTGCCATCATGGAGAAGGAAGACAAGAAAAACTAAAAAATGCATTGTTTTTACCTGGAAACCATCCCCGATAGAGTTGTTGGCATTGGAGAAAGAAGGCTTGAAGCTTTAACTCAGGAAGTGAATTGGGGCTTGGATTTGAGTTAAAAGGAGCAATTTTTGACATTTGAGAAATGATAGGAGGGCATTTATGACATTTTATTAGCAATTGCCTCTTATCACGTTAAGTAGCTGGGCGACCTCTTACGGTTTCAGATCTGAAAGTGGCATTCAGATCCACTTTTAAGACATGACCCCCAACATTTATTACCTCTAAAAAGTAAGTTTCTCAGAGACAAGAGGCAGATTCAGCGCTACCAAACACCGCCTAACTTAAACACCTTTTTAAGACCCATTAACTCTAAACTAATCTAAAGTCTAACTACCCATTTGGGAGGACTTTTGGGATGCAGCTTCTGGCATGCTGAGCTGAGTCCCACACGGGAACGTCAGAATCTATATTTGGTAAAAGTTCGAAAAGTTGATATCAGTTTTCGGACGTTCAAACCACTACTCAAATATGAAGCTACTCTAAGTAATTTCTCCCAAACACCGATGCACAATCACTGCATCTCAATTAACCCTCCCAAACAGGCTCCAACTTTAATTATTAATTCAACCCCAGTTGGGATTTAGAATCAAAATTTTTCAATAAGCCAAACAATATAATATTTACATAATTGAGGGTGGCCTGGGATGATCAATGTGTTGAGGAATTTGTGCAGGTGCACATACCATTGCCCAGTCGATAAAGAAACTGGGAGCCATTAAGTCCTTACTGGTAGTGCCGGAGAGATCAGGAACAAGTGTAATGTTAGGAACTAGACCTTTTAACTAGGCTCGATCGGTGCAGTGTACTTCTCTCCTTTTCTTTTCCTTTTGTTTCTCTCTGTCCTTTGCTCATTTCGTTTGATTAATCCCCCCATTCAGGCACTCACCACCCATTCCAAATGAAGAGATGGTTGAGCTGGAAATAAGATTGGGAATTTGTGTTTAATTTATCTCAAAATAAATAATCTTAATAATCAATATAACATGGACTTAATATTCATTTATTTCACAGTCAGAAATCGGAATCGGAATCAAAATTGGAGTGTTCTATTCCCATAATTTGTTTGCATCAGCCAAGAATCGGAATGGAAATTGAAATTAGTAGGAATGAGATTTATTCACAAGGAAGGGGGAGTGAATGACCATTCCCTCAAATATGGGAATTTCATTCCACCAAGAATGAGAATAGAATTCTGATTCCGCCCAACTAATTAATTAAACTGTTGAAATTAGAATGGCCCATTCCTATTCCAATTCCAGACCTCTATCCCCGCAGACCAAATGGGCCCTTAATGTGTTCCACCAAAAGAATTTCGTGTTTGGCACAAACAATTTCATAAAAATAATATTGTTGATAATTTCTTTTTTATTTTACAGTTATCCTTTCAATCATCTGCTGGAGTTAAGAAAACCGGCCTGATAATTAGAATCATCTGTAATGGGAATTCATTCCCCAAGGGGAGGGAATGGCCATTCTATCAGGAATAGAAATGGGATTCTGATTTCAATTCTAATTCCAAACCTCTATTCCCACAAACCAGATAGACCCATTCTCAAAGAACCATTCAACCTAAAAGCTTAAAGTTGAATAAGCACAGGCCCACCCATACCTTGTGCTGAAACTTAATTAATTATAATGGGGGTAATGAGGATCAAACACTAGACCACTTGGTCAAAGTGGCTCGGATACTATCTCAAAAAAACATTCAACATAAAAACTTAACCTGTCAAGTGAGATCCTTGAATACGTTTTATTCTCTAATACCCATAATTCTGCTTCTTAAGCGCACTAACAGCAAAAGATGAATGGTTAAAATAGCGTCCAACCAAATTGAGCACTAAGTTCTACGAAGGTTATCAGCTGCATGCTTAGGAATCAAGGCTCGAACTGAATTCAACATTCCAAGTCATAAAACATCGTGGAATTATTTGGCGTAGGGTATATTATATTGGCAATGCCAACTTCTACCCAGCATAGACATAGATAGCACGTTCTAATTTAGCCTGCAAAAATTACTATTATAATCTGTCTTAATTTCAAGATTCATATTCTATAAAACCTAACTCATAAATCATTGGTTAGGGCTGCAATGGATCCGATAAAGCTTGGACATACCAAGATCCAAATTTAAATCAGATCCATTTTTAATGTAATAAAATATTACATAAAATTAATAATTTTACAGCATTTAAACCAACTTTATTAAGGTTTTCATCAAAATTCACTAAAATGGGTTGATTGGTCAAATCCTGTTATAAATGGATTAAATTCGGGTCGCCTTGATTGCAGCCCTATCACTAGTGAAGACCATGGCCAATCCAATTAACCCAACAACAACTCTGACAGTTGTAAACGTGTTGAAATGTCAGAAAAGTCAAAATTCCAAATTACCCAATTAATCAGAAACGGCATCTCTTTCCCCTCAAAATGAAGTGATCTACTAGATATCCTTCCGTTAAGGTTAAGCTTAAGATTAGATTCCTTCTTCTCATCTTCTTTCTTTAATTTCTATAATAATTTTGAGGAATGATGCTATAGCGCCTTGAGCTATTGTGTTCAATGGCTACCTGGTTCAGAAACCACTGGATTAGGGTACATTGTGGTCTTGGTCTACAAGATCTAACAGATTGCAGCTTCAATACAACCCTATAGGATTGACCATGGATTATCACATCATTGACCTCTCTCTGTCTCTCTCTCTCTCTCTCTCATCCTAAGGTCAACAGCCTCTTCATTGATCAATGGCATTGGGAATGTAAACAAGATTTTTTAACAAAGACTAAGGCAAATTAAAAAGACTAAGTTGTATTTGATTGCTTAATTGGCTACAATAACTTCTCTATTCTACTAGTAATACACCAATTAGTAATTAAGCTCATGCATTGGTCTATATATAGGAGGGCCACATAGTTGTTTGCTTTGTGTGAATTGCAGGCTTATCTGTTTGTTACTGTTGATAGGTTTTTGGATCTTTTGATTCTGGGTGGGAAAAAATGAAAACAAGCTTTCTTATTTTCTGGGTTTTTCTTGGTGCATTAGGAGTTGCTAGAGTTTGCAATGGAGGTGTTCTGAAGAGGAATTTCTACAGGTACAACTGCCCACAAGCTGAGGAAATTGTGAAGAGTATCACATGGAGGAGGGTGGAAGCTAGCCCAGAGTTGGCAGCTAAGCTTCTAAGAATGTATTTCCATGATTGCTTCGTAAGGGTATGATATGATCATCCACTGCAATTAACCCATGCACTAATTCATATATTGTTTTGTATAAGATTTGACATTATTGTTGTCCTACACTCACAGGGTTGCGATGCATCAGTCCTATTAGACACAGTTGGGAGTGAGACATCTGAGAAGGATGCACCACCTAATCTCTCGCTGGCGGGCTTTGATGTCATTGATGAAATCAAGTTTCAAATCGAGCAGATTTGTCCGAGAACTGTATCCTGTGCTGACATTCTGGCCTTGGCTACACGAGACTCGGTTTCCTACCAAGTGAGCCAAGGATTCCATCTCTCTGCTCTGCTCTAATCTTTTGATAAGTACTCCGCCATGATTCTGCTTGCTAGCTCTAGTCAGATAATAACTCATCCCTGTGGACAAAAATTTTGCAGTTTCAGAGACCCATGTGGAGTGTCCTGACTGGGAGAAGAGATGGAAATGTTTCTCTTGCATCAGAGGTTCTGTCAAACTTAGCTTCCCCGTTCGCAAACTTCAACCAACTCCAACAACTCTTTGCTAGCAAGGGACTCAACACTAAAGATCTTGTGGTCTTGTCAGGTTGAGAAGAGGATACACTTCTGATGGATATAATGCTTCTTTTTTCTTCTTCAGATGCAATTTGAATATGCGTGTGCTTAGAGCTGTATAATTCACTGTTGTATCTGCACAGAGAATTTTCTTTCTCTTATTACACCAACAATTAATGGAAGGCATTTGATTGAACAGGTGCACACACACTAGGGGTGTCTCACTGCAGCATTATCTCGAACAGGCTCTACAACTTCGATGGCCAAGGCAACCCAGATCCTTCTCTGAACCCAGCATATGCCGACTTCTTGAGAACCCAGTGCCCCAACCCAGCAGACCCTTCAACAGTAGTAGAGATGGACCCCCAGAGCTCCCTCAACTTCGATAACCATTACTTCGCCATCGTCAACCAGAACATGGGTCTGTTCCAGTCAGATGCAGCGCTCCTCACCGACCCAGTTTCAGCCATGACAGTTCAGTCTCTACAGAATGCCAATACCTTCTTCTCCGAGTTCACAAAATCACTTACAAAGATGGGAAACATTGGAGTGCTCACCGGGAACGAAGGAGAGATTAGGACGCAGTGCCGAGTGGTGAATTCATCGTGAATTCAATCTATCATTGGTTGCTGATCAAGAAGCAAAATAAGCCATTAATGTTAGCTAATGAAGTAGATGTTTGAATTAAATAAGTCGGAATAACAACGTAGGTTCTATCTGGGGAATGTTCTTCTTCGTGCATGACTTTGCATTCTGGAGTTGGGATGCTGTGCATGACTGAGAGTCGTTTATCAATGAATAATTGCTTCATATCTTTTATGGACCGAATTATTTGTCAACCTTCTAATAATTTGTTTCCATGTGTATGACCAAAAAAAGAAACCAAGCTTTTTGTGTAAATTAGTGGGATTTTGAGAAATAAAGGGAAAATTCCTTGGTATCCAGACCATGTACTTTGGGCCTAGTTCCACTTTGATCCCTGAATTTTAAAAAGCAAAAATTTAGTATCCAAATTTTAAAAATGTATTAATCTAGCATCTGTCATTAATCAGTCGTTAAGTGACATTTAAAAAGACATAAATATTCTTCGAGTATCATCAAATTTTCTTTAGAGATAGTGACAATTATAGATTACTACCCTATATTTCAGAGGTAGTGACAATTACCCCTTAACTTTCATTTGTGATACTTAAAGACCTTTGTGGAGTTTCAGATTCCCACAAAGATCCCCCTCTTCATTAAGTGACAGAAGTTTATCAAAACACCCATTCAAGAAACTTATATAAAAAGGAAATTGCAATAAATAAACCAAGAAACTCTTATTAAAACCTGGAATTGCAACAATGCAAGTAATATCAATTAAAGCAAAAAAGAAATGGAAATTGAAAAATATGCTAAAAAATCATTGGAAAAAAAAAAGGTATTTTAAAGATTTAGAAAAGTTTAAACAATCCATTAGAATCTCTGAAAGAAAAGGTATTTTGAAGATTTAGATAAGTTTAGAAAGTTCATAAGAAACTTTTTCAAAGTCAAATCTGAAAGTTCAAGGGGTCTTTATTGTAAATGAAAGTTCAGGGAAATAATTGCCACTACTCCCAAAGTGTAAGGTAGTAATCTATAATTTATATAAAAAGAATCTTATGAGTTATGACATTCTTAATTGTTGATAAATTAAATCTATTCTGACCATTATTTTTGGGTTTATGTATTGTATGATAAATGTATATTAATTTTTATAAAATATATTATACATTATATATCAACATATTATAACTTGAGATGAGTTAGGACTAGCATTGGAACTGTTTTACAAAGAGAGAACAAAATCGATCCTCCAAAGTTCAAATAGAAAAATGAATATGACCCCAATATTCAGTTGGGATCATTTGATTATTACTAATGTAATTTAATTAGCTTTGGTACTTTTACTCTAAACCAACCAAATGTTATTATTATTTATATTATTGTTATTGATTATTACTAATGTTAATCCGATTCTTACCAAAAAAAAAAATTTCTCTACATCTGAATACAACCGGCAATGAGCCAATGACCTTTGTATTATTTGTCTTTTCTTCTCTTTTTTCTATTAAAAGCAGCATATAAAATAAGAGCAAGTTGGCCCCACTCAACAGCATTTACAAGTATGGATCAAATACATGAAATACTCTAAAATCGGATTTCCTGCCCACTACTCTCTACCTACACTCTATCCACCTTGAATTGCAGCCATACATTGCCATCTTGTAATGTGAGATGTGCGGCTGTAGTGTATAATGGATAGGACTCGGGTAGAGAAAGTGAATAGGAAATCTGATTTCATATTTGACCGCTTTTCAATCGTCAGGCCTTAGGGTTATCATAAACCAGATTAGACCAGTAGCAAGGTGCCAACCAGCTGGTTGGTAAGGTCTCCTGCTGGTAGTAGTGGAGACATAGGACCGAATCTTGTCTGCACCCTTCAAAAGATATCAAAAAAAAAAAACAAAAACAGATCAGCCCAGTATGTGGTCCATTTTGGAGACACTCAATTTAGCCGACTCGGAGTCCATACCCATACCCCAATTGAGTCTTCTACACCCAACATTGAGAATCAGGGTTTAATGATCTCAGTTCAATTGTAAACCATTTTCTCGCCGGTTTCAACTGGAAGCAGACAGATTATTTTCAAACAAATGAGTATTTTAGACCTTTTCATCCCTCTTTTTAGAGGATTCTAATAAAAGGAGTCTACCGACAACTACATTAGAAAATTCAGGGGAGATGATTGCAATTACCAAACTTCAGAGGAGGTTTCAGCAATAAATACCCTTTTGTTTTCTCTTCTAACAGTACCATTTATATTGATAGAATAAGAGAGACCAACAGCCCAATTAAGTAACATATCTGAAAGTAGAAAAACAATGAGGTTAACTTCACAACCGTTTCCATATCTGGGTTGAGACTCCAACGGAAACTTGAACGAAGAGACTTTGAGACAGATTGATTGGCACCATTAAGAAGAACTAACACAACTTCTATTGTAAGTTTAATGGCACCATTTAGAAGAAGAATACTAACAGGAACTAATGGTCTATTGAGTAGTTTACCTGAAAGTAGATAACCGAGAGGTTGAACTCAAAACTGTTTCATGTCTGGGTTAAAACTTCAATAGAAACTTAAAAATAGGAGTTACCGTTTAAGATATAGGTTGAGACTTCAAAACAAACTTGAAAGTAGGGGCTGATCATGCGTGCACATTGAAAAAGCTATTCATGGATGAAAAACTTTGGAAAGAGAAGTTACATAATTAATGTTAAATTTGGGAAGAGTGCAAATACAAGATTTAGAAATACAAACATGGGGTTTTGCACTAAACAAATTTGTATTTGCACTATGTTCAATGTAGATATGTTTAGTATAAATACTAGGCTCAGTTCAGAAAGAGTACGAAAACAGATATATGCAATGCAAATGCAACGTTTAGAAATGTTGCATACAACGTTTTGCATAGGGATGGCAATTTCGTGGGAATTTTTTGGTATCCAATCCATCCCGACCCTAATAGGACCAGTTTTTCAAAACCCTATAGCGTTTGGGACAGGTTTGGGATTTTAGATTAAAACCGTATAGGGTTTGGAATGGGTTTGGGTTTTGCCTTTAGGGTATCCGATACCCAATACCCGATACCTGGGATGCATAAATATGAACTCATTATATTATGCATTATGCACAAATTTATAAATTTTAAGTACTAAGATAATTATTCTATTATTAATATTATATTTATATGAATTTCTTGGGATTAAAATCATCATTTGATGTAAATTTGGATTTGATAGATTGTTTATTTCATTTATTTATAAAATTCTAATTTTAAATATTATTTTTAAATTTTTAGTTGGAATTGTTAATCATATATATATATTGATTGTTTTAATGAACACAAAAGTTAAAAAAATCTATTTTATTTCATTAAATAACACATATGGTGAGATAGCTTAGTGGTTTAAAGTAGTGTTGAGAGATTTGGTGCTATCATTAATTAATCTAAGCTCAAGTCACATTATAAGCATTAAGAAACTCTTTTTTAGTAGAAAATCTTTGAACAAGGGGTTTAACGGTTGGACGGGTTTAACGGGTTTGGGATGGAACGGGTTTGAGAAATTGAGAGAAAAAGTTAGACTGGTTTAGAGTTGGGGATACATAGGCAGGTTTGAAAATGAATAGGGCAATTTGCACAAGTACCCTACCCATTATCATTTTTGCACTGACCATATTTGTATTTAACTTTTTCCAAACTGAGCGTTAGCAAAAATAAAATCTAATCGAAACAATGAATTAATCAAAATGCATAATTGTCTCTAAATGATTACGGCATTTGTAAAATCTCACCTAAAATGAATATAAAAAAAAATTTGAGATAATGTTCATTAGTTCACCTGCAGAATGACGTGGATTAAAAAAATCAGAAAATTGAGAAAATTAATAGTGGAGACTGTGGAATAAAGGGAGGCAATTTGACCTGACACCACTTATTATAGTATATGGTATAGATGGGGTAAAATTATAGCTTAAATATTTCAATTGGAAAACCTTTTTCAGCCATTGTAAAGTTGGGAAAAAAAACAACAGAATCAAGTAGGTATCAATGGTTGAACCACAGTGTTGAACTGCAAAAATCAATAATAACGCTTGAACTGTTTTTTTTTTCTAATACCTTTAGGCTGCATTTGTTTTAAGTGTAAATTCAAATTTACACCGATGGAAATTTTGATCCCGTTTTAGTGATCAATAGAAAATTGAACCAAGGTGTTTTGGAATTTTTCTTTCATATTGTTTGGTTGTTCTGATCTAAAAGTGAAACTCTACTCTGAAACTCCCTTTGCCGTTGATCTAGTAAAGCCTATTGAAACTCTGCTCTTAAACTCCATGGAGCCGACATCAAGCCCGCGGATCTCTTTCTCTGTCAATTTCATTGAAGACAATGATTTCATCTCCATAAGCCCACACTCTGAATTGCCAAAGAAGCTTGACACAAAACGGGAAAAGGTGCCAGTGCGCAATGTAGATTTCAAGTTTCTCTCTAGAAATTCCACCGGTGATAGGATGTTAACAGCCGACAAGCTCTTCTTTGAAGGCAAGCTCCTTCCCTTCTGGGAAATGCAGCATTCGAAGAAACTAAACAAGATCTCTCTCAAAACAAAGGATGCAAAAGGAGACCATTGGACCGAGGAGGTCTTCTCACGCTCTCTCGTCCGAGGCTGGGAATATGTGTGAGCGAAATGAAGAAGGAGACCATTGGACAGAGGAGGTTTTTTCATGCTCAAGGTTCAAAATTGTCACGTATCGGCCGATACATACCATATCTTAAGGCTTCTGGCACAGGGAACGGTTCAAAATCAATCGTACCATTCCTTTTCGTCGTGCCAAAGGCATATCGATGCCATATCAATGTTGTATCGGTGAGTTTCTATCATGTATCGACCGATACACAACTGATACGGTAGCGTATCGGCCAATACACAATGATTTTACTGTTGTTAAAACACAAATAGAAGTGATTTCGAAAGAGGGCTTCTAAACCCATTTCAAAAGCCATCTTTCTTTCCCAAACCCTCCAAAAAGCCTTTTAACCTTTCTAAAGACTCAAATCTTGTAAAAATTTGCCAAAAACATTTATAAATTTACAAGATGCCAACATTCAATAAGTTTTTCAAGGTTGTATAAAAAAGAGTGAAAATAAATGTCTTTTCAATTTTTTTTTTCTTTACATTTTCAGCCAATGTTGGAAAAGATAAGGGGAAAGAAAGTGGTTTGCCCCCCTTTTAACAAATGTTATGTATTTTTATTTTTTTAATATAAAAGATTTTTATTAAAGATAAAGAAAAAATGAAATCCCCCCTTCCTCCTTCCTCCTTCCTCCTTCCTCCTCTTAAGGGAGCTTACGCCTCTTGCATTCTAAACTGCTTCACACCTCTAGGTAGTGGAACACCTCTGTGTTTTAAAACATCTTATCATTGATATTTATTTTTTTTTTATTTTAGTTTACATTTATAACAAAATAATTATTTCATCTATTATGTCCATAAATCCATTCAATTTTTTGTTACATATTTACTTTTCTTAATTTTAATTTAATTTTTAGAATAAAACATGCAAAATGGTTATTTGAATAAAAATATATAATTATTTAGTTTTTAGAAAATTAAAATAAAACATACAAAATAATTACTTGATCTATTATGTCCATAATTAGATAGTATGTTTTTGTTCCCAACTTCCCGTTTATTGATTATAATATGTTTTCTTCATAAAAACCCACTAAAACGTGCTATTTTTATGCATAAATAGCTTATTTATGTCTTATATTTAATGATCTTGATATTTATTTATGATTTATTAGAGAATTTAAAGCATTTCCATGTGTTTCCATGCGTATCTTAATTTTTCATCCGTATCCATGCATATCCAAAGTGTATTTCGATACATCTCTTAAATTTGCCTTTCTAATACGCATAGCATTTCCGATACTTTGAACCTTGTTCACACTCTCTTCAACTCTTCGTATAGGGAGGAGACCATTGGGTGGAGAAGAAGAAAAAGTTTACATCGACACATGTAAAATCGAATCGGAGTGTAAAGTTTACCCCGATTCAATTTTCCACCTCAAATAAACGTAGCCTTAACAAATATTACCATTCAATCGGATCCACCCCTTTTGGTATTCTCTCCACCAATTCAGTTTTAAACATTGTCCATATGGCTTTTAACAGCTCCTATCCAATTCCATATCACTTTGGTTGTTTGGAAAAAAACAGCCCAGGCTGTTTTGGGAACCTCTACACATGACACCTTAACTAATTCAAGTCCTTATTTGTCTTTTCAACTAAAAATGTATTAAGTGTAAATACTATTTTACCCCCACTCATGAAATGTCATTCACAGGAGGCTCCAAAACAGCCCAGGCTATTTTTTACAAACAGCCAAAATTTCTCCATCCAATTCTGGTTAGGGTATATTCGAATCATGTCAATTGAAATGTAAAATATAGATTCAATTTTGGAGCTCCATAAATCTGTACAATATTGACATAAATCTACAAAATTAAATATAAAATAGAAAGTTATGTATTACAAAAAAGAGCAAAATAATCCTTCATAGCCAAGGTTCAAAGTATCAACATGTATCGGCCAATATGTATCATTTTGGGACCCCTCCGATACGCCCCTATAGTGTAGGTGTATCAAAAGTCTGACCGGTTCAGGGGGTAGAGGAGCCCTAAACCAACCCCCCTAAACCGGTTGCAAAAAAAAATAAAAAATAAAAAAAGCAATAAAAATTAATATCGATTCACTCGATACGCCCCTACCGACATATCGAGCATATCGATATTTTGAACCTTGTTCATAGCTTTTAAACTAATAATCTACCAATGAACTGATAGATAAAGGCAGTGTTTAACATTGACGTGATTTCTGAGAAGACACCGCCACATAGGCACCACATTAGAAAAAGTAGTGCTTCGAAAAATAACCTCTTATTTGGTACCGTTTTTTCCAAAAAAAAAACATAACTCTAGGCCACACCTTGAAAATCGGAAAAGTGTGGTCTGAAGAAACTCAAATTCAATATTTTCTCAAAAAACAGCCTATTGCTGTCAGCAATACAATGATACAGCATCAATGTGACATCATCTTGGACATTGGATAATATAGATCAATACTGAAAATGGTTCTACAGCACTAGTATCAAACAAAACCAGTATTATTTTCCCAAAAAATCAGCCTGTGGCAGCACCATTTCCAAACAAAAAACGGTACTTACAACTCAGACATACACAGCACCGTTTTCATTCCCAGCACCAATGCAAGATGGTTACTTGGTGATGCTAAATATGGAGATGTTCGGTGTTCCCTGCAGCTGCAACCAATGTTTTAAGACTCGACCCAGACTCACAGTTGGATCATGGAAATCGAGAACCGATGGCCTTTCCGGTCCCGGTTAAATAACAGTTTTGGCAGGTTGGATGGACAAACCACCTGATTAACCGATTACTCCGGTTCGAGTCTTACAACATTGGACACAACATGCCTTGAGGTGGGTGTGAAAAGGAAATCTGAACTCCAAGTATAGGGCCACAGGAACAAAACCCGCTTAACTCTCTGCAGCAAGGTCAGTGGACTTCACGAGCACCCTGTTGTCCCCACTCCTTAATACCCTGCAATCTGTAATATGCAGTATCAAAAAAAAAAGCTGATATAATCCTGAAAATCATTACGCTAAAATTTTAAAAAGATCTGATACTTAATACATCTACATGCATACCGGATCAAGCAATATCCAAATATTACATTATTAAATTTGATCCAATTCGATTATAGATGCATAGATTTCCGAAATGAATCCGATTAAACCAAAACCATTTTCACTGCTATTCAAGGGCATAGATTCATGCCTGATAGGTAGAACAGGTAGGAAAAACCAAATCCATCAACCCTGTTAGAAGAATTATGCTACAGATTTCTAACATATTTAGACTAGTACACAGACAAACCCTTTGATTCATGAATATGGATGGATACACACAAAACATAGGTTTCATGCATATGGATGATGTCTGTGGCGATCCTTGTCCCGGGATGAATAAGAGGAGCTGTGATAGTCACCACGATCTAACATAAAAATAAGTAACAGTATTTAGAAGATTGATCATTCAATTGCTTCCCACAAGAAACATTGAAGAACAAGAAACATACCTCGAGATGAGTGGTGCCTTGATTTATCAGAATGTCCACCTCCTGAACCAATATACATCAGGGATAAGTTAAAAGGTATGCACCAAAAAGGTCCCAAAAATTCATCGAGCATAGAAAAGAAGAATAAGTATATTCAGAAGCCAACCTGAGTCTTTTCCTTTGTCCTTGGAACGATGGCTTCTCTCCTTAATTTTCTCTCTGTCCCTTTCCACATCTTTTTCTCGTTCACGTTCCCTGTCAGAGTCCCTTCCCCTGTCACGATCTCGGGCTTTTGATCTTTCCCGCTCCCTTTCTCTATCCCTCTCCCTTTCTCTCTCCCTGTTCCTTTCTCCACCCACTTCTTGTCTGTGATCGACCTTGAGCTTTGATGGGGGTTCTTCTCTAACCGCCCCCTCTACTGGGGCACTTTTGACATCATCGTCACTCTTCTTGGACTCCTTAAGTTTGTCAAGGGCCGCTTTTATCAATGCATCTTTAGACCCACCTGAGTCTGAATTCGGTGCTGTAGACACCTTGGTGGCACTGGTATCACTACTAGCTGCTGCACCATTTGGAACACCATCCTAAGCAAAGCAGAATTTACAACAAACTAGTTAATTGGATGCCGTATCATGAACCTAAAAAAGTCAGTCTCGAAAAATAATGGCAATATGCCCAGGAACAGGTGCACAATCGAGGCACATTTCAAGGCCTGAACCTCACCTAGGCCCAGGCATAGCTCCTTTAAAAAGGTATGCACATGGTGTGCCTTGTGCCTCAGCCCAGGGATGCACATTTCTTAAACTTTGTGCTTTTTGTACTTTTTATAAGCATGGTATTTCACTCACTTGCTGGTGCTTTGAGAACCACCATTTTGCTAATATTTTTCATTTATTCTTCTTAATACAACACATTTTTTTAAAAGATGTGAACTAAACCTAAATAATAAAACCAATTTTTTAAGTACCAATTAAGAATTTAAGACCCTAGCATGGATTTGTTTGGGCTTGCCGCTCAATCTAAAATGGCTCATAAATTTAGAATAATGCAATTGGAAAAGAAATAGACTAAAAGTTTCACGTGCTTGAATTGTCGAGTGCTTAAATATGTTTACATGTTATGTTTCATTTCATTTTATTTTTACATTTTCACTTGGTATATGTTTTATATGTTATGTTTATGTATTTCAATATGACCTAATAGACTTTTTAAAAAATTTAATTTAAAATTTAAATATGCATTTTTAATTAATATTATTTTTCACGTTTTTCTTGCAATTTATGCATTTTTTAATTTTTAAAAACTTGTCTCCGCTTTAAAAGATTTATGCATCACCTTGCTCCTTGAACCTTGGATGTAAAAAGGCCATTTGCATTTTTTCTGCACCTTGCGCTTTTAAAACACTGATATAACATGTCTACATGGTAGTAAGCATAAAAATGGGAACTCACCTTTGGAACTTGTTGAGCTTGAGGGTCCTTTGTCTTACTTGAGGTTGTGAACGAGTCTCCATCTTTGCACACTGGTATATATTGTGCCTTGGGAAGGCTGTAAAGGTGTGCCAAGACTTTGCAGACTTCATCAATCCCAGATTTCTCAGCATCAAAAGCCTTCCACCATGGTGGATTCTCAGGAAGTGGTACCTGGAACCTGCGCGCAGCAGCATATACAACCCCACAGGCCACAACCTCACTTCTGAAACGAACACACAAGGTTGTACGCAAACTGCACAAAGATCAAGAGTCCATGTAAACAACTAAAAAGGCATAAGAACACCTAAAATCAAAGTGTTTTAAAAGATGTGAATTAAACAGGTACCACTCAAACATGATAAATCATGTTTAATACTGATTTAGTATCATCTATGTGCAAGTGTGTGTGTATGTGTGTGTAAGCAAACTAATCAAACCAGGTGAAAGCAAACCAACAAAGGTATCAATAAGCTACGATACCAGGATAACTGTACAAGGGTCCTCAGGCAACCCTTTCCAACCCAAACTCAACATATCCATTCGCATATGTATGTGTGCTTGAAGGCTAAGAGTTTAGTGTAGCATTGGTACTCCTAAAGCACCATAACTTTGCCCCCATGCATGTACTCCAATGTTAAAGATGGTTAACCCTAATCAGCTGATTCCAATTCTAAGGAGTGAAAATATTTTATTAAGCAAAGACAGAATGAAGAAATTGGGCCACAATGAATCCACCCCGAGATCAACCCAAACAACACGGTTGGGTTAGCTTGGACTCTCAACTAACTTACCTGGCCTGTCTTGCACAGTTGCACCCCTAAGTGGAGCAACTGACTAAAGGTCATCACCATGTACTCGTGACTAAAAATTTAATTTTCAAACCCCTGTTTTTTATCCTTAATATAAGAAACCTGTTACATGTTCCCAAATTCTAAAGAATTCTTTTCGATTGTTAAAGAAGGGTGAGGATTTCTGTCCCATTGTAAAGACTCCATTAAAAAGCATTTCATAGTGAATGTAATTTATGGAGCATGGAAAAAACTACAGCAAATATATCCAAACTTTATGCTTCCAAATTGAAATAAGTTTCAATGGCCTCTCGGAATTGCCAAGATAAAAGCTCAAGCCTCAAGCCAGGCATTGAGAATTAAATTAACAACTAAGAATGTAAACAGATACAGATAGTAACTTATTAAAGTACCTGTCATTTGCTAGATTCCAGGCTTCTTGCCTCAACTCTGGAGGTGTTTCAAGTGTGGCAAGGTAATTTGATATGAATTTATGAGGATGTTCAACATGACAGATGAAACCCATCTCCTTCAGCAGATGCCTTTCTGTTCTAATCAAATCCACCTTCAACTCTGAATATTTCTGTAAGAAAAGAGGAGAAAATTTAGACAAAAAACACTTACTGCAGAAAGAATCCATATCAGGATTTCCACTAATGTAGATGCCATGCAGTGTTAACATCAACCAAATTCCGCAGAAAAGTTAACACCCCAGCATTGTTACTAATACTGACAAGAGCAAAACATGTTACAGAATTTATCACCACGGGAAATCAATAACACTAAAAGGCACCTATGGTGCAAAAACAGATAATACATTTGGTGTTTTTCATCTATTTCCTTTAGGTAAGTCACCTCAAGACTTTATATTACATGTAACAAGCATTCGATGTAAAGCTTATTCAGGCAAACAAGGGCTCACAAAGTTGATTCAGTCTAACCTTAGAAAAGACATCCAAATGTTCTATAGGTAGATTCTCCCTCCGACATTCCATTCTGTGGAATACAATGAGAACCTGCTTTGCTTTTCTAGGGTTTTCTTCCAGCTTTGAAGCAAGCCAAACACAGCTAGCAGCAACTCTCTGCAGAAAAGTAAACTCAGATCTTTTAAAAGTAACACACAAAGAAGAAATGCTGACCAGTATAGTGTTGACAAAAGTATTCAGAATAAGGAAAAAATAAGCAAGAAAAAAGCAAGGACTATGCTCATCACCAAAGAAGAAATGAATAGAGGATGAAACCTTCACATTGAAGCGGGCAAAAGACTTCTTGCAGTAGAAGCGATGGAACAGAACCTGCCCTGTAGCCATTACTGCCTGAGGCCTATGAATAACTTTAAGGAAAGAAAAAACAAAGAATAGGAAAAGGAAAACAAAACAAAACAAAAGACACAAAGATTCAGCAAGTCAGTAGAAAATAAATAAGGATACAATCTGAGCAAAATGCCGCTTTCCTGGATCAGATCGCAGCCATATATTCGAAGGGTAGTTTCAGTTGCTTCATCTATTCCATCTTTCCTAGAAGGTGAGTTCTTTAACTGCTCATCCGTCAAGTAGAATGTATCAATCGCCGTGTAAATCATTGTCAAGAAAAGGCTTCAACAGGAACAAATGAACTTCTGCACATAAAGAACCAAACTTCAGATATTAAAAATGATAGAAGAAAAAATGAATACAAAGTTGAGACCAGGAAATTCCAAATGACAATTTTGGGAAAACTTGCAAGGATTAATACAAGAAATTCCAAATGAAGGTTTTTATAGGAGACTTAAATGCGCATATGGGGAAAAGAACTGCAGGATATTATTATGATATGGTGCACGGAAGATCTGGGTTTGGGAGAGAAATGAAATAAGATATACAATCTTAGAATTTGCAGCAACTTATGATATGGCAATTCCAAACACTTTATTCAAGAGAAAGATGAACACTTAATAGCATTTAAAAGTGGATTAAAAATATATCAAATAATTTTCTTCATCACTAGGAGAACAAAACAAATGACTTGTAAGGATTGCAAAGCTATTCCAAGGGAAAGCTTGACCACACAATATAGATTAGTGGTAGTAGATTTGCGCATTAGGAAATGTGTAGAGATATTAGGCCGGATGTGTCTTAGTCGGCTAATCTTTTTATTACTTGTCCTCTTTTTGTTAGCTTTTACTTTATGTTAATGGGCCTCAATTATATACGCCTGTTAACCCTTCTTTATTTGCTTTATGAGCTGGCCATCATATTAAGGGTATCTTGTAATTACCCACAATTCATTAGTTTTAGTTAAAAGTACTTACGGACTAGAAAGATCATTGAATTGTTCTTCTCCTCCCTTTCTTTTAATTCTTCTTCTTCTTCTCTCTTGTGTCTGCATCTATCTTCGAGACCTCATTTTTTTCTCTTATTATTACAGATCTGATTTTCTTCTAAAGTTGTGTTTGCTTTGAAGGAAAAGGTAGGGAAATGAAGGGAATGGTAGGGAAACCTATACAAATCTTGTATAGGTTTCCCTACCTTTTCCTCCAAACCAAACATAGCCTAAATGAAAGAGAGATGGGAAAAAAAAAAATGTTGTCCACGAATTAGGTGGAAAAACCTAAAAGGAGAAAAACTAGCTCAATTTAGATACAAGTTGATAGTATGATGAAAATGGAATTTAGATGGAAAGGCTAATGATATATGGCTTGAAATGATGAACTGCATAAAGAAAGTAGAAAAGGATATTTTGGGAAATTTCAAAGGGAAATGAAAAGTGTTAAAAGAAACATGGTGGTGGAATGAAGAGGTTCAAAATATAATCAAATTAAAATGAGCATATTACAACGAATGGCAAAAGACTAGATATGCAAAAAATTGGGAAAAATACAAAATCATAAAAAAGAGAGTAAAAGGTTAAAGTTAAACTTAGGGTATATGATAAAATTTATCATAAATTACGCACTAAAGAGGGAGAAAAGGGATTCTATAAACTATCAAAGATGGGATAAAGGAAAGATAAAGATATAAACCATACTAGGAGAACATTTTAAAGTAAATGAAAAAGAAAATTTTATTAGAAAATGAAGGAAAAACAATTATACCAAGGTGATAAGATATTACCCAAAACAAACCCTTCAATCTTTTCAAATACAAAATTTTCTTTCCCAACCCTTACAAACAGAAAAAACAAGGACCAAAAAACCAAAATTCAAACACAAACCCCCAAAGCAACCCAAAGCAGCATCAAAATAAAATATCTTTCAGCAATCTGCTCTACCCCTTAAAGCTTAATTTGTTCACCGGATCTTCTTCCAACTCCTGAAACACTTTTCTTGCAAATTCTTCCCCTCCAAAAAAGATAACCCTAAAATCTTGCTAACTTGGACTCTTTTCATCAATAACATAAACTCATTTTATTAAAGAATAAGATAATTACGGCACTCCAGAGAGAGATAACAAGACTTAACTCTCCCCAAGAGAACATGAAAATGAATTACAATATAGCCCAAAACATTTGATCCCTTCCTACCCCTTACTTTGCCAATGTATCTACAAAGGCATTTGCAGTTCTCTTCACCCAAAGAAACTGAATTTTCAACCCCCTAATTAGCCACTTAACATCCCTCCTCTCATTGGCATATTTCCAAAGTCCATTGTCCTTCTGTAACCAGCTCAAAAGCAACTTTCAGTCTCCTTCAACAACTAGCTTTTGAATATTCAGCTCCTTTATCTTCCTTAGACCTTCCATTACAGCATAAACCTCAGCACTGAAAGAGCCACCAACCCCAATGGGACCTGAATACATTGCAATCACCTTCCCATTGTCATCTCTGAAGACACCTCCTACTCCTGCGGGCCCTAGATTGCCCTCACTGCTACCATCAAAATTTAATTTTATAAACCCAGAGGCTAGTGGGTCACCAAAGCAGCATATCCGTAGAGACATCAACAAACAGGTCCAAGGATTTTAACAAATGCACCACCCTAACTGTCATTACTTCAATGATAACTTCTTTATTCCTTTCCTTTTCAGAAAAGGTCCTTGAATTCCTTTCCTCCCATAAAAGGAATTCTTCATATAAAAGTAATTCCTCATATTTTCAACCTAGTGCTTCTGATACAGTTATTTATACATTGTAATGTTGACTTTGTATTGCCAAAGATCTAATATCCTTAATGTAAAGGTTTTTAAGTTTGATATGTGTATATTTTTCCTAGCAAATGCACTTGGTAGGCAAGGTTGCAAAATAAACACTGTAAACTAAACGTTCATATCATTCTTTTCTTGCATGGCTATTGTCTAAATTAACTTATTTATGAGATAGCATCAATATCTTGAACTTAGAACATATTTTATTTCTTCAACTAAGTAACACCTAGGCACGAACTAGTCATTGCATCACCTAGATAGGCCAAAACAATTAGTCATTGCCTCATCACATTGAAGCTCTCTTGGGTGTTGGGAGTTCATTTTGCCTTATATCTCCCTGTTCTTCAATACAACTCAAAGTTCTTTATCTTGAACTTAGAACATATTTTATTTCTTCAACTAACCAACACCTAGGCACGAACTAGTCATTGCATCACCTAGATAGGCCAAAACAATTAGTCATTGACTCATCACATTGAAGCTCTCTTGGGTGTTGGGAGTTCATTTTGCCTTATATCTCCCTGTTCTTCAAAACAACTCAAAGTTCCTTTTTTAATGAAATTGCATCACCTAGATACGCGTGCGTGCGTGCAAAGTTATAGTATCAAAGGTGCAAGTGAGGTACCCGATTTGAACATTTTAGACTGCATCAGGCCTGGGTTTCCAGGCAGGGCTCATTCAAATTTTAACAAAATCCCAACCCAARCCCGCAGCCCRCCGAAGTTGCACCCTATATAGCATTGGCAATCAAGCCTAGACCAATGTAAAAGGCATTAGCTGATGTGTTTGTTGTAATGTGTGCTGCAACAAGTGGAGTATGTAGCTCTCTTTTTGTATGTGGTGTGAATACGCATACACCACATAAATAAGATTTTTTATTATCAGCATCACCACATAAATAAGATTTTTTTTTATCAGCATCACCACATAAATAAGATCAAGGAAGAATGAAGTGTTTCGAACTTTTTATCAGTCTATCTTGAACATTGAAGGGAAAGAGAAGTAAAAATAAGCATTGTAAGAATTAAGAAAAGACGATATAACCATAAGAAGATTGCTGAAATGCTCTGCCTATGCATATG